CAAAGAATCTTATTGTTTAGTTCTGATATTCAAAAGTGTCTCAGATACAGGTAGAATATACCTTTGAAAATCAATATTTACTTGATAAATGTTTCTAAATTTGGTAAGTTACCAAAATGAAAACAATCAACACTAAAAAAGTTACCAAAATAAAGTAAATTGAATTTAAATTAAGAAAAAACAGTGCACAAAAGCATGTATAATGCGACGAGTAAGAAAAAATGCATGTATATTGTTCAGACGTATCGACTTTAAGGTTTGTGTCTACTTAATCTCTGAATTTTCTAATTTTTTTAAAATTCACCGACCTACTTTACACGACATTGAAAGTTTAAGGTTCCATTAGACAAAATTCAAATCTATGTCTAATAGATCAAATCATTTGTTTTCAAATTTTTCGTAGATTTATTAGACACAAAATTTGAAGTTTAGAAACCTTCTAGACACAATAATGGAAGTTTCGGGACCAACCTGAAATTTCACGGACTAAATTGTAAAGAGACCAACATGTAATCAAAAGTAGTTACAATACCTGATGCCAATGCTACGAACTAAGCCATTGGAAACAAGATCTTCCATGGCATGCCAAGTAGTCTCTAAGGATATGGTCGTATCAATGTCCAAAACCCCATCTTCAGCCAATTCACTGCTAGTATTGCCGACTCCTTCATAAATTAGAAATGGAAAAAGGGGGAAAGGTAAAGAAACAGAAAAGGAAAATGAGAAATATTTGATGAACAGCCATGAGAAAGGGGCGATATGGTACCGGTATGCTTTACGGCAACCGGGAAGTGCACCAGGTACAGATCCAAGTAGTCTAGTTGAAGCTTCTTTAAGCTGTCATTGCAAGCCCCAAGAACATGTCCATGGTCTGAATTCCAGAGCTGCCATTGTCAAAACCCAACATCAGTGATTTAAACTTGACTTTCAGAAGCAGTTTTGAAGTGTTTTTAAAATTTTCAATTGGCTAAAAGCATTTATGATCCTTCAAAATCATGCCAAGCTCATCCTAAGGCTCCTAACTGTTTGAACTTCAAGCAAGAAGGATTCAGATGTAGACAATAAGAATTCTGAATCAAACTCACCTTTGTGGTGATGAAGAGTTCTTCCCTCTTGACAAGTCCGCTCTTAAAAGCTTCTGCTAGAGCCTCGCCAACTTCAGCTTCATTTTTGTAATCAGCTGCAAGAAAACACCATCCATTACAAAACTAAGCCACTCAAGTTTTCCGCAGTCAAGACATTAACGCTTTAAAGCGGTTGTATGTTTGATATCAATTCTGTGACTAATTACTTCTGTTTTAAAAAAGTAAAACAAACATTAATTCCTAAATTTAAAACTTACCAAATCCTTAAACCAAACGATTAAACTTGAAGTTTGAATATGTAAAGATTAGAAAGAAGCTGCATAATCCACTGGATTTTTCGAAGTCTTCTGATATCAATAATGGACACAAATCATGGTTAATCGTCTGAAAAGTAGTCCTAGATCAGGGCTCAAGGAGAAGGCGTCAAACATTTTCATACACAATCATGCATGCTATTATTTCTACACATCAAACTCAAGAAAATCGATGAAAATCCGATAAAGAAAAAAATTGCGAGATCTTCCATGATTTCGTCCCGATTTCTAGGTTCTACTCGAGGAAAATCAAAACGAGTCTAGTCTCATCGAAGACAAAATGATAATGTCAGCAAGAGAAACTACAGAGAAGAAATAGAAGCAAGAGAAACTGAAGAACAAATCGATTAAAGGACGGTACCGGCGCAGTCGAAATGGCGATAACCAATCTTAATAGCGTTGATAATCAGATCTCTGACTAGGTGCTTCTCCATGCGCCAAACTCCCAGCCCCATCACCGGCATCTGGAAGCCATTGTTGAGAGTTATCGCCATTTTTGATCGGAGCTTTTCAATCAATTCAACTGGCTCTGCTTAGATAGCTGCTAAGCTTTTGCCTCTGAGTTCGTGATTTTAAGTTTCTCCAGATTTTATTTTTATTTTTATTTTTATTATTTTCTTGTTTCTGCCGCCGACTTCCTTTATCCACACCAAACGACGTCGTGTGAGAAGCCGTGTAATCATTGATTGATAGTCCTATTAAACTGTTTTTTTTTTTTTTTTTAACGATTAAAATAATAATTATATATAAAAAAATAAGACTATCAAACCGTTGAAATTCTCAAATTTCTATTTAATTTAGTGAAAAAATGAGTAAATTTTTAATTAAAACAAATTTGCATTCTAAAAATATTGCATAATATTTAAAATTAAATGTATTATACGTGTTTTACTCTTTTTTTTAAAAAAAAAAAAATAGATTATAAAGGTTCTTTTTACTCAGTTTAGAAAAAAAAAATTGTTGTTAATTCAATAGAGATGAGATAAAAGAGTTGTGAAAATTTGAAAAAAAATATTAACTTAAAAATAAAAAATAAAATAATTATTAAAATTGCATCTTGATTTTTTAAAATTAATTTAAAAAATGTAACAAAAATTGATATTTTACCTCTTGTAAATTGAAGTATAAAAACAAAATTGTTATTTTTAAAATTATATAATTTATATATATATATTTTTAAATTTATTAGAAACACTTTACAGTCTTGTTNNNNTTTTTTTTTTTTTTTTTTTTTTTTTTGTATTTATGAATATTTTCTTTTAAAATGAATGAAATCTTAATTATTTGGTAGGAGTGTTTTACCATACAAAAATTATTTTTGAGTTCAACAAGACTTATCCTTCTTTTTTATCCGATTAATCCATAATATGAAAGAAAATATCGACTAAACCGATCACAAGAATACCAGTTACAGTATCTATTATCCAAAGAGGAATCCTTCCCATAGCTTCTTGGCCATTTGTACCAGTTCCCTCCATTGTAAATATAAAATAAATAAAAAAACAGTTAATAATTAGATACTCACAAATTTGTTGGGCAAGTTTATGTCCGATATAAATTCTCTCATTCATTCCTTACTCACAAAACTAGCGATAAAATTGAAGATGAATGTAAAAAATATGGGTCTTCGTATTAGTTGATGACCTCAACAACCCGACTATTCGTGGGTTGTGTTAAGTTGAATTAAATTTTTTAAATATAAAATTTAGTTTGATTTTTTTTTTCTCAAACAAAAAAAGTATTTACAACTCGAGTTAACCAAGCGTAACAGTCATAACCTCTTCGGTGGCGTTACCGTCGTTTTGAGTGCTTCAAATACATAGTCTCCATAGCTTTGTCGTGACGACTGCCGATATCCTCCGAGTAGTAAAATACGAGCCTGAGCTAATGTTCGAGACTCTCAAACTATAGTGACTAACGCCATGGCAATGATGCATTATTTTTATAAATTTTTTATTTATTTTCATGAAAATAAATGTGATAATTTCAAGAAATGGGATTTTATAATTAAATTTTATAAGATTTTTTTAAATATATACCCATTTAAATTTTAATAATTTACAGAATGAGAAATAAGATTGAGATCGAAAGTATGTTCTCATTAATATTTATAAACTTTAAATAAGATTGAGATCGAAGGTATATTCTCATTAATATTTATAAGCTTTAAAGAGAATATAAGCTAGCAACTAATACGTACAAATAAGAAAAATATAAACTAATTAAATATTAAAAATAAAATAAATAATAAATAAATAATATTAAAATATAATATCTACCCTAAATAATATATTTTTCAAATATTATATTTCAATATATTAAAAAAATCTAAATATAATAATATATCTAATCATATTTTATAATATAAGAAAAAACATAATATATACACTCACGACATTATACATTATACATAATTGTTATATAATTTATAATACAAAAAAACCGTAATAAAATTGAATGAAAAAGACAATGAAATAATGAAATAATATTTGAGTTTAGTATTATATTAAAGATAAGAATTATAACGTGAGGTATAGCGTTATTTTTTAATTAAAAATAAAAATTTATATTATTTTAAACAAAATATAGACCTCACAAATAAATTTTTGATAGATTTTTTTTATCTTTATTAATAATCTTTTATTTAATTTCTATTTTCCAATTAAGTTTTGATAATGATTTTATTTTTTTATCTTTATTAATAATTTTGATTTAATTTTCCTGATATTATTTGGAGTCAGGCCCAGGCCCAAACTGTTATATATATGTCGTGATGTTTACGAAATCGATTTCCTTGTACGGGTATTCAAATCGACGCTCACAAGTGAAACCGATCAACTATCTTCTCCGCATCGTTCTTCCTCCAGCTATCGATCATTCATCGGCGACTCGTTCTCGTCTTCGGTACGACTACATTCGCATTCTAGCTTGTGTCTTTTCGATTTTAATTCTATATTGGTTGATCGTCTCGTGATGATGCTCTGGTTGTGTGCTTGCTGAGAAAGCTGAGTGTCTTGAACTTTGAAGTTTCATTATCTTTGCGTTTTTATCCTTCGAATATGCGCATTCGTTTATGAGTAAGCTTATTTGCTGTTATGTTGATCGGAGGTTGTTGGTTACCTGCGGCGGAAGAAAGATAAACATAGCAACTTATGGAGTACTCAGTCTGATGTTTGGTTTATTATTGATTGATTATCGTTGGTGCTAGTTCTGATTTTTTTTTTCTTCATATTACAGTTTAGTCTTATTGTTTGCCTTGGTTTTAATGTTTGATATTGAGGCGGAATGAAACTGAGGATGCTTTTTTTCTTTCTTTCTTTTTCCTGCTGTTTTGACATGAATCAGTTTGATGCTCCTGGCGTCCTTAGTCACGCTGTTTAAGTTGTACTGTGCATTAGCTATTTTTAATTGATTTTGAGGTTTATGATACTGACTTTCTCAAACATTCGGTTTTCCTGCGTTTACAACATGCAGAAGTTCTTCACTGCTCGATTGAGAGCCTTTACGAGGTTGATTATCCGTCGAGGAACTCTACACAGGCTCTACAAAATGGTATGCATGCTTTTTTCAGCTCGTTAAGATGAGAACCTCTGATGTTTTGTAACTGCTCTGGATTCTACGTTACTTGCGTGATTAGAAAATGAAGAAAAGTTACATAGAATGTGTTTTAGACGTTTATGATGCGGAATTGAATTTCATTGACCTACAGAAGGATCTCTTTTCCCTCAATTTAATAAATTATTGCTGCTTTTTGATACACACGTTACTGTTTTATGTTAGTCCTTGACCTGGAGACACCGTGCTTCTTCTGGCTATGGAACACTAAACTTGTTATAGAAATATTTGCTGAGGATTTATCCTAGTGTGGCATGTTTATTTCTGCTGCCTAAACCCTTCTAACTTATATGATATATGTTAGCATGATCAGAGCACTCCTTTTTTTGAAGGAACAAAAATATTTTTATACATCTCACTTGCTAGAAGCAGTGTGCCACTTATATGATATATGATAGCTAGATTTAAGATCATAATGTTTTGAATGTTTCCAATCAATCCAAACCTTGAGGAAGGATTTGAATTGTGTTGAAGTTTACTCTAGCCATGTCCATGTTACAATTTCTGCTATACACTGGCCTCCAATTCCCTGTTTTAGGAGGGTTCTTATTGTGAAGAATTGTTTACATTTTCTGAAAAAAAAAAAAAGAGATTGGTTAGCTTTTGCAACCATTGCAACTCATGTATCTCTATGTTTCTGCGTCTGCAGTATTTTGATGGGTATGGATATCGTGGAACCTCATTTGAGCAAAGATATCAATGCTTCTCTGCATCATTTATTGATAAGGTTCGATTATCTTCTACTTCTATTCACCATTTTTAGAAACGTGCTCAATTGTTGTTTAGTGTTTGGGGTATTCCTTGGCCTCATTGCATTTTCATTCTTTTGCATACATATTAAGGGCCTTCTTCTTCACGATAGCCGATTAAATGTAGGCAGCAGGTGCAATTTGGTCATGTATTTGTTTGAAGTTTGTGCTTGGAGATAGCCGATTAAATGTAGGCAGCAGGTGCAATTTGGTCATGTATTTGTTTGAAGTTTGTGCTTGGAACAAGCATTGGTCATGCATTATTGTTTTTTATAAGCATGGAGTTTCATGTAATATCAAGCAAAGCTACTGCTGCGCATGTTTCCAATTTCTAGGCATATACAGTAGAAAGTAAATATATATTGGAATGTTCTCTTCATCATAAAGAACTTTAGAGTATCTATAATTGCAAGTATATAAGTGAATTATTTCTTATTCCCAAAATAGATAGCTTCTTCTAATCCCAGTTAATCTTTTCCTGCAGCCACACGTTGAAACTGGAGACAGAAGTTAGATAGCTTCTTCTAATCCCAGTTAATCTTTTCCTGCAGCCACACGTTGAAACTGGAGACAGAAGTAAGCTGTTCTATCTTTACCCTTTTTATGGTTTAGGTTTCATTTCCTTTCTTAACGTTTTTTTTTTTATTTCCTTTTCTTAAGTTTCTAATGTTGTTTATTTTAATTATTTTTTCAGTCATAATGCCTCCATTTATTTCCTTTTCTTAAGTTTCTAATGTTGTTTATTTTAATTATTTTTTCAGTCATAATGCCTCCATCAGCCCTTGATCGACTTGGTTTGTTGCCATATTCTTAGAAGTCATTTTTGTTCTCCTATTTTTTCTGTTGTGTTTTTCATCATTGGTGACTGATTTTAAATACAACCCCCTGCAGCATCTTTACAAATTGATTATCCAATGTTATTTGAGTTTCGAAATGATGCTGTTGAGCGAGTCTCTCATTGTGGGGTTTTGGAGTTTGTTGCAGAAGAAGGCATGATTTACATGCCTTATTGGGTAGGGTTCCCTATTTCTCTTATGTGATGTGTCCCAGGTGTTATTGACTCTTTCTTATATCCTGTCGTATAACTTTTCCACTTCTGTTCTAATTGTTTCCCCTTCAGATGATGGAGAACATGCTTTTGCAAGAAGGAGACTTGGTGCATGTGAAGAATGTCACTCTTCCAAAGGGAACTTATGTTAAATTACAACCTCACA